TTTGCACACTGCCTCAATATTATTCAATTTTTTCTTATATGAATTCCTTTCAGCAAGCACGCTCTGTAGCATAGCATCCTTGGGGTCTTTCTCTGAGCTCTTTGAACCAACCTTTATATCAAGCAGCTTTTTAATAATTTCAGCCTTATGGATACTTTCTGGTTTAGTATTGGCAACAGCTATATATTTTTGTACGGATTCATTGGTTGGAGTGCCATAACCAATTTTTTGATTGAAGCGTTCTGCAACATGATCACGAGTGCTAGTTGAGTTTTTACAGTGAGAATCATAAAACTGTTTAAACCAAATTAGAAAATGTAAGTTTGGTATATAGCGATACTCAGTAATATCCAATATCGGTATTATCTTAGACTTGATAACAAATCTGAGAGAGTCAATTGCTGATTGCAGCAACTTGTAGTTATGTACACAATCCATTTTCACATTAGTAAAAAATACAACCGTTCTCAAATCAATTGTGTATGGGAAAAGATAATGCATAGCTTGGCAATAGGCTGCACCAGTACGTAATTCGCTAACTTCTCCAAAGTCAGCTCCTACAATGCCATTTAGCCAAGCGAGTAGTTCATTGGCTGAACAATTCGATTTTGGTTCAAAGGCCCAGCACGAAGTCGTTGACATTCTGGCAACTTTTCTTGTCTTGGAATTACAAATTACAAATTACAAATTTAGAATTTCAAATTTCGAATAAACTACAATTTAGAATAATCAATAAAAAATAATAAAAAAATCTTTAAGAAAAGTACATCATTAAATATTATTATAAAAACATTGGTTACTAAGTCAAATTTCATCAAAACTATTTCTTAAGTTTGACAGTAAGTTCTCACTGGGAGGTATGAAGTTGGAATCTTTAGAATGTATATAGTTGTCAGTGTAGTGTGGTTAATTACTAGTTATCAAAATGTCTGTTTTCGGTACGTACTGCAGCTACATAATTAATAATTTGAAAATACCGGGCTTCTCTTAATAACCTTGCTAGGCGTGTAGTGTACAGCTGTCATGGGTGCCTGGATATAGAGACATTTCGGACAACTGTAGCGCAAACGATTTTGCCAAGGAAGGTACTCTACTCCCTGACATTCATTTCTCAGATAGTGGTGTCCCACTTGCAATAGCTATTTTTCAGCTATTTGTGTTCGACTTGCAATGCCTAAGCTGGTAATCAAATAAAAATATCTGAGTATAGCTAAACAAAATTGAGCTGATAAACCCTGCTATCAGATTTCAAGATTGATCTCGTCCAAACTGCATATAACACATATTAACCAGATTCTTCAACTAATATTTAACTGATCAGCAATACTGGATCTGTTGTGCCGGGTCACTGCATATAAGAAAGACATGCTATGAAACTGGGTCTACCTTATACACACTTTTGTCGTGATTGTTGCTGTGCAGATGAGGAGGAAACCGCATTTTACCTCACGTGTCAGTGTCCATCATTGAAAAGATAGCCTCTTTTCTTACCGCCCTGACCAAGATATCATCCAACCAAGATGTCATCCAGTAAAATCAGGGACTGAGTCTAGTTTATAAATTTGTCGAGTTGGTTTACTTTTACATAAATGGGGGTGTATTGCTGTGCGGCTTTGCTCGTACTCTGACTTTATCTACCAACCTAAGTTACTCTAAAACGACTGTTCGCGCTCCTTTTTAACTCGCAATATATTAAAATCAACCTGTTCTGTAAGGTTGAGCAAAACTTTATCACAAATGAAATGGATTACAAAGATGGGTTATTTCAAGAAGGTGACAACAACAAAGAGCTCTTAAAAATCAGACCACTGTATTATCGAGACCTCGATATTTTTACAGCACTGCAGAGATATCCTGAGATACGTGGTAAGCTAGAAAATTAAAAACTAGTAGGTTTCTCAACACTATAGGTCTAATCCGGCCTTTTCTTATAAAAAACTGCATGATCTTATTGTTGAGTAGATTTTAGAAAGCATTTCATAAAAAAATCTAATTACTCGTTAGTTCACTTTTAACTAGTTTTGGTATTAACTGTTGTTATGTGCATATTTCTACATAACATACATATATATATTTATTATAAAAGAAAGTTTCCTTTATAGTACGAGGCTAGTTAACTCAATGCACTTGAGTACTTTTATCTCTATTAACTGCGATGTTCATTCATAACCCCTCTGCATGCTTTGATTAAATTTTTGTTTATCACTTCATCAGACTAAGCAATAACTGACCTCAGATCTGCATACCTCCCCGAGGAGCCTATAGCCATTCTGAGATCCATTCTGAGACAAAATAAAACTTAAAAAGCTGACTGGAGTGTCTATGAGACCCTCCGGCGGGCACATGCTTTCTTATGTTTGATGATGGACATATAAGCAATGCCTCTTGATAATATCCTAGGACAGGAGATTAGGGCTTTGATCATTTATATACTTTATATACTCACATCGTCATACGATAAATAAATTACTTAAATAAATATGTGGAATTTATTTATATATATATATACATTTAAATATAAATTTAATTGTGTTTGTACGCTTATATTCTTATTATATTATATATTCTTTATATGTTTAATTTGACATCTTATAGCATCACGAAAAAATTTTCAAGTAAAAACTTTTAATGAAATTATTCAAATAAAGGAATAAGGAAGCAGCAAGGATTCCGACTTTGAAAAAAGGATTGAACATACTATTTTGTAGAAGTTTAAGCCTTATCGCGGTTAATGCATTTAATTTATTTACAAGAATTTTAGTTTCGAATTGCAATTGAGCTCGGTCTAATTGTAAATTTTGAATTTGCTGTGCTTGCATTTCCAAGATTTGACGTAGGCCACTCACACAGTGGTGGTTGTCATCTTTTATCAGTAAACCACATCCCATTCGACATCGGAAGGGATTCTTATCACACGTATCCTCATGTTTTTGCAATGAATCGAATTTGAGTTGAGTTTCACATCCATGAATTCTATTCTCACAACTAATAGTTAGGTCTGCTAACATATTGCGAACAACGCGAGATGAAGTTGTCAAATCCTCTTTCACTAAAGAATGTCTGCATTCCGGGCACTTTGAATGATCAGATAAGTATTTCAATATACAAGCACGGCAGAAATCAGCCACACACGCATCACATTTTACAGGATCTTCTAGGACGTCGTTACATATGACACACAAGAGCAGTTCATCAACGAATGTAACGAAACGATTGATTTCATAACCCATTTTTGCTAAAATTCTGTTTGAAAACAAAAAATTTTATTATATTATTAAATAATATAAAAAATAAAAATGAATGATAATTGTTAATAACTGTTTACTAATCGCAAAAGAATACGCGATGCTTAGATGTCTCATAAAATATGATGAAAAATCTTCAAATGACTGGTGAATGGGATAAAACCAATTTATATTATTTGTTGTTGTTGTTGTGGTTTAAGTTAGTGCTATTACACAGTTTTACTCTTTTGTGGCTGGGAGCTTATCCCTGCCCCGCAATAAGCTTTAATTATACTAGAATTATTATTATTTATTTATCTTTTATCTGATGACGGACCGTAGATCAGCATATCTTCCTGTGCGCCCTGAGGTAGACTTCAGGTTTGTTAATATATGTATATGCTTTCAAGTAATGGAAATTAAATCACATACGATTATGTTGTATGAAACAGTATTCGTCAAATAAGATCATTTTTCACCATGAAAAAAAAATATTAAATGACAAGTGAGGTGACGCATTAAATTTAACGGAATTGTTTGAAGATTATATATTAAAAACTAAATAGGTTCAATCAAATGATTGAATCCAACCTATATAGTCAGCAAATATTAAAGTTGAAGAAATAAACCGAGGGAAAGAATAAATTTGATGTAGAAGAAAGTTATTGTATTACAACATGACAACGCGACTCCCCAGCAAACGTTTTGGAGTCTTAAACATTCAGAACTTGACGAATATTTTAGTGAATTTACCTTTTAGTCTAATATTGGTCCAATATATGTATTGGTAATATTGGGATCTCTCTTGCCGCAGAACTCAGACCAATATTGGATTGTAGAGATTAGATTAGTTTTTCAAAGAGAAAGTAGCTAAATTGTACAATAAAATAGAATTGGAAGAAATACTATTATTAATAAAATGATTTTATATAAAAGAAAAGTCAAATATTTTGATCTAAAAATAAATTATGAAATATCTCACCGCTTTTGTTTATGACTATTAAATACTGGACGCTACTTATTGCCTTTTCGATTACTTATACTAATAACCAAGTAGTAGCCCCTCAGCAATGATTCATCCATTCAAACTTACAACAAATTTTTGAGTACTTCCTTCACTCCAATTTTTATTTACTTGAATAATTTTTAACTCCAATGCGAGGGCGTTTGAAGATACATCCAAAACTTATGTTAATTAATTTTTTAAATTTAATATAGCATTTATATGAAATTTTTACAAATTAATTTGTAATAGATGCCAACAAAGGGAGAATGAATCTCTTCACGATTTTAATAAAAAAATATTTTAATAAAAAATATAATATTACACTTTTATTAATCAAATTCAACTAATGCATAGCAAACTAATCTTTTCAAGTGAACCAACAACTGGCACAGACATTACTTATATCTCCAACCCTAATGATGAAGAGAAAGTGTTGAGCTGGTGAAGTACTGATGATGACAATTGTTGGCATCATAGAAAGATTATTAGCAATAAATTTTAAATTCATGGTCCAGTGTCAATATTTTACAGTTGACTTAAACCATATATAGGAAAATGATAGAGAGATCGAATAGCAAATCATTAAAGTGGGAGATATTATGGAGGTGTATCAAAACTAAAGAAGATGAAATTAGACGAATGATGCTAGGAGGAAAGTCAATAGACGCTAGGGTTGCCACCGAGTGTATGGAAGTAGGTACTCATACACGTAAGTAATTTTAAATTTGGCTTAAACTATAGAATCAAAATAGAGATTGCCGCTAGGCTTGAGTTTGCATTTTTAATTAATGCAGTTGTAAAAAACTCTAAATCCAAATAGATGAAATTTTTGAATCTAGACAGAATTTTTTTAAAAAACTATTTGTGGACCACATGAAGTAAGAGTATTTAAGAAACGTTAAAATAGTTTCTCATAGCAAAGAAACTTAATCTAATAATTGATTTGATTATAGCTGCGGAGGGCAGTTTGGTGATTAATATGGCAGAAGCTAGCGTTCAAAAGCATTAATCTAGAACTTTAGCGAATTGACAGTTTTTTTTTATTTGTTCACAAATACTATATGTTATAATGAATAAAATGTTCTCTTTTCTCGTTGCATTCATAGTAAAAGCCTCATTTGTTTCATTTTCTTATCGAAGTTGTGAAAAGCTTTAAATTATTTAGTGGAAAGATGTCAAAGATGTTCAGTATTTTGCTCGATGACAAATGTTTTTTTCCGCATATAAAATTGTAAGACAAATATACTTATATTCTAAGTATAGAGTCTGGTGTGCACAAATTTGGCAGATTTTCAGTTGATATTTTTATATACGTTTATTTCAGAGATGCATTATATTTATGTATGTATGTATGCTGATCCTTTTTTCGAGTCAGCGCAACTGGGCACTTTTACTCTTTGATAGCTGGGATTACTACAGGGTCCCACCCATCTCATTGACTAATATATATATTTATATGGATACTTCAAATTTCGCATGTGTACTCGTATGCTATCCCATTTCTTGGATTTGCATTAATTGGAGAGCATACTAAATTGTCATTGGACTACTTTTTGGAAAAATATTTGTAGATATGTGCTCGTAAATCTTCTTCATTTGTATTTCTGATTGCGTGGCATTGAGATGATAATCACTTTAAGTGAAATTTTATAAAATTTTTAATCCTTTAATAACAACATTTTTGTTTATTATATTATGACACCAAAAACAGTTTTCTCTCCATACACAAAAGCATTTAGCAATGAACTTTTGTTCTAAATTTTCTCTTTATATTTAAGATAAATTTTATGGAAAATAGTTTTAGCATAAAATTTTAATCTAACACAAGATAAAATAAAGAAAGCAATTTACTTAAATTAACTAAGATAAAAATACTACAATACTAACCTTGAGTTAAACAATTAGTCTCATTTCCTAAATATATAATCATTTTCGTAGAAATATTTAGAACAAAGCAAACACTACTGGTATAAATTTAGTTAATTGTACCTAGTAACCCAAAAGATTTTTTATACCATTGCTGGAGAAAATGTCTATTATAAAAACTCTATTATAAAACGGTATGATTATCTATCATGATACTCTGATAAAATCTTTAGGAAATATTACATTAAAATAACTCTATTTTGGCCCACTGTCTCGATTTATTACAACTAGCAATGCCTACAATATCTACACTAATGATTTTGGACCTATTAGGCTCATTGCCGAGGGAGTGAGACGTTCGAGTGGCTGAAACCAGTCCCTTTCAAACTAAAGGTGTCAGATGACTGTATGTATAAGAATGACTATTAATTTTTAAATACATAACATGACTAAATAGTAACAAATAGTAAATTCTTTTTAGCATTTAATCAAAAAAATTTTCCCTTTTCGCAGTGGTATATATTTGCCTATGGGTTTGAGACAAACACTTGAGAAATTAAGACTATAGTGTAGACATATATCGGTTGTTTTTATAGCTTCACGTCAACTATCGATATCGATTACTATGGTTTGACAGCTGAGAATGTCAAACTGTCTTGGCATTCATATTTTATGAGTGCCAGGATATCGCAGTTTAAATAAATATAGATATGTGCTTCCTCCACTTTTCTATTTGATTACTAATTGTAGAATATGAATGTTTATTAAATCATTAGCTTATAGGAACCTAGAAGACTAATAATATTAGTTACTAAAAATTATTATATTATTTGATTTTCAGATATGTGAAAGCCAAATTAAGGAACCTAATTTACTTCTTTATAGTCGTAACGCTAGTGAATGACTAGTGAATGTTATGGGCTGCATTTTTCATAAGCAATTGGTTAGTTAATGGAAGTTCGTTAATATTCAATATAATTTAGATGTTTATTGACAAGAAACAAGTCTTTATTCTGAATATCCTTTATATCTTAAGTCAACACCACTTATTCATTCCAGTGAGGTATTACTTACACTACTTTTCGCAAGAAGTGAGTTTTTGGTTTGATGCCCCTGAAATAAACAATGACTTAAAACCCTTTTATGTTTCAGAGAAGAAATATATCCACTCCACTTTCTTCTCATTGTATATGCCATTGATATACGAATATTCCAAAAAAAACAACCGGTCTGAAAAGGTGTGCAACCCTTGTATAAATATTTGAATTTGTCACATCCGAGTGTAGAGCAATGAGAAGCCGTTTATATTCGCTTATCAAACAGATTTCTATGTTATCAACATAAGAATTATATTTAAAAAATAAAAACAAATTAATTATGACTTTGTGTCCCTGAATTTTAAAATTTTTATAATGAATATTATCTCACATGTGTATGAGGTGTTTAGACTATTTAAAGCTTAAAAAGTCTTCGTATATAAATGGTTGTTCAGCTGTGAAAATTAATCAGTAATTCAAAACTCATTAAATTCAAAAGAACTAAGGAAGACATGCAGCAGAGTAAAGTTTTTCTATTGGTAATAATATATATCTTCAGTATATATATAATATATGATATACTCAGGATGTTATAAAAATTTTCTAAACATTTCAGTGCTTCACAATAGCTGCAGTATTTCTATTGCAGCATGCAAGTGCAAAGTGTAATGTTTGCGAATCTAACAGTGTTGCATGTATCAACGAAACATCTTTCCGACTCTGTCACGATCAAACAATTGATAACAGATACATTTTTCACTGCCCCGACGCGAATGTTTGTACCGATCTAAGAGTTATATGCGTTGCAGAAGGTCCTAGCGTTAAACCACATTGTGACTTAACCTCAGGATGCAGCGTTTGCAACAACCAGAAGCTTTTCACTTGTGTCAGTCGCACTCAGTACGCTTTATGCAACGGTGATGTGGTAACCGATGATGTTGCCACATGTCCTACAGGATGGGTTTGTAGCAGTTCAACCCCTGAAATTTGTGTTCCGGAAAGTTCAGTGCAAGGTGAAGTAGAGTGCCAACGAAATGCTGTGTAGGTCTAAGTAATAGTTTAAATATAAAATTGTGTAATTAAATTTTGAAAATAGAAATAATTTTCCTTATTTGTATTAATAAGAAAATAAATAAAGTTGTATTTAAATAAAAAAATAAAAATAATAAGAAGAAATGAGTACTTATAACTGCATAATTTCTTGGTTAAGAAAAGAGAAATAAATGTGAAGACGGAAATCAAAACACTAATAAGCGTTGTAAAAAGTGTTCTCGATTTTTTTTTTTGCAGATTTTTGATAAATAAAATTTTAATTGAAAATCGTTTTGAATTTAGTATATATATGACCTCTTACAATGTTTGGGTAGCTTCATAAGTTCATCTGTGCTGAGCAATGCTAACTTATTAACGAAAGACTTGGTAAATGATTTTCAGCACCTTGAGGACAGCCAATTTTTTTACCATTAATAGAGGTCTGTAGAGACCGAAGTCAGGCAGTACAAAAGCTACGATATACAGGAATGGCAGCTCTAAATAATTGTATTTATTTTATGCGTGGTAAACTGCGTTTTCTCAAAAACAATAACAAATTCATTCTATGCTTTTAAATAATTGAGAACTTCCATATTTTATTCTTTCCAAAATATGTAATGTAAAATTTTCCAAAAAAAAATAATTAGAGACACATTTATATTGTGTATATAATATTGGGAGATATAAAAGGTATTTGCGGTTTTATGTACCAGATGTATCAAACATTTTGATTGTCTTTAAAAATTATTTTCATCGAAAATTAATTTTAATCAGGTATGAATTGGTCATTATTATTTAAAACTTTTTTCGGATTGTTTCATAATTCCATGGTTTTAGAACTCTTACGAGTTATCGGCGAAAAATTTGACCAAGTGATATTGACATGCTTTTCGATCGGCCGATATTTCACTATTAAAAAAGTTTTCCTGTAATGAAGGGTGTCAGAAATTTAGTTAAGCAGTAAAATTAATATGATCTAACTTCTTAACATAAAGTTTTAATTGAAACGATTTTGGATATATTCACTGTATATTTTATTCAAATTCAAAACTATATTTTCAAGCAGTAGCAAATTTATTTATTGATATTTACATAACCAGTATAAGGCCGTTAATTCAACCAACGTGAGCGTGGCAGATACCCAAAAATAGACCTTCAGAAATTTTTTCTTTATCAATTCTCAGTTCATACCAGTAATTACAGTGCTTACGGCCACTTTTTAAATACAATAACCTTAGCGCTAAGTACAGAAAGTTAATCTACAGCTAGATAATCAGACTGGCATTTCTCTCAAAGTCAAAGTTGCTCAAAGTTAGGCTCACCGAAAACTTTTCAAAATGCCACGGTACGAATAATATGCTAAGAGATTTTGGAATAGATCCAGTCAAAAAAAAAAACACAAGAGGCAGAGTCTTGAAGCTATACATATGCGAAAACTAACAGGCTGCCCTACATAGCCTGTCTAATTTCAGATCAGTCACTAGCCGTACGGTGCAGTATGCAGATTCTATATCAGTCATCGAATAATCAGCGAAGCTTGTGAGGAATACATAAATTAGTCAAAGAGAAGGAAGAGACTCTGTAAAAAGTCCTCAGCCAAGAAAGAGTAAAATTGCTCAGTTACACTAACTCGGAAAAACCTGAACACAAAACAAATGGTCAAAGTGATGTGTATATAAAGTTTTCATTGCTAAAGACGTTCTAGTATATTATGTGTTCCTTCCTCCTATATTTAAGCTTTTTATCAAGAGGTAGACCTAAATATTTATTAAAGAATCTGCCTGAATTCTGGTACTTTTATATTTGTATCTGGTTGGATTTTGTTTCTTATACATTAAGACCGAAAAGTTTTCGGAAATTCTCATTTAAAATTCGCGCGCTGTATATTTTTCGATATTTTAGTTTATGTAGTTTGGCAGCACTGTCCTTAATTACTATGCCAAAAATGAGCGCGATCTGTCAGACAGTTCGTTTACGGCAGCTGTTGAAACCAGTTCACCTCAGTAGGGCGTTGCGAAAAAAACAATGGAAAAAAATATTGAACAAAGAGTTTGCATCAAATTTTGTGTTTCGAACGAAATTTCGTGTGCAGAATCGTTGCGAATGCTACAAAAGGCTTATGGGGAATCAGTTTTATCGAAAACTCAAGTTTATGAGTGGTACAAAGCCTTCCAGGACGGTCGTACGACCGTCGAAGACATTTCGCAACGCACTACTGAGGTGAACTGGTTTCAACAGCTGCCGTAAACGAACTGTCTGACAGATCGAGCTCATTTTTGGCATAGTAATTAAGGACAGTGCTGCCAAACTACATAAACTTAAAATATCGAAAAATATACAGCGCGCGAATTTTAAATGAGAATTTCCGAAAACTTTTCAGTCTTAATGTATATGATTATATTTGATTACATGATTATATAAGATTATTTTATATATAATTATCTTATATATATTATTTTATATGTGGTTCTTTATAGCATTTCAATGAGGATGCTGCAGTTCTCTAACACAAAAATTTATGGATGTACAAAACTTATTTAAGCATAACTTTTTATCACAATTTTTTGTTCTCTACACTGAATTGAGAACTATTCAATTTTAATCATTTGTAGCGCGAATTACAAGTTCTTGGCAAGTAACAAGTGCCACGAATCCATTACCGTCTGATATAAGCCTTATATACCGATTCTATTACTGTTTATAAGACAAGTTTTACTTAAAACTAAAGACCGTTGCAAGGCATATATAACTTAGAAATAAATAATAGTTTTGTAAAATATCAGGCACATAATCTGTACTCTTCCCTTCTGATATTAGGAGGTCCTCAACAGCTGACATTCTGGCTTCCATTCTGAAGGCGGAATATCTTCTGTTCGGTTAGGATCTGTTGCAGTACAAAAGATCAACCATGGTCGCAGTGATTCACTCCGTTGGGAGCTGGTACCTTTTTTATTCCTATTCCTAACGTAAAAAAGATTTTTATTAAGATACTTCTGTTAAATTTCAAACTAAGATTAACGAAAAATATGCATAAATATCCAGGCTCTCAAGAGAGTTTATCTATCGATATTTACAATATTTTGAAGTGAATATTATTAACATAAGAACTATAGATACAAGTGCCAATCCGTCTTGTAGAAGGTATGCCACTATTAGACTTTAAGGAATAAGCATATAGTGTTATAAGTATACGTTATATATAAGTTCCGTCTACAACGAAATAAGGCACTTTTAGCAAGGCATTTTTAACTAAGACCGCGTGCGAGTTCGCGTAAACTGAGATAAAGTAAATTGGTATTTCCTAGGGATTTTTTGCACTGCACTTATGTAAATATTTATAAATTTTTATTATTATTTCATCATTTTTATTATTTTATTATTATTATTATTTATAAATATTTATTTATTTATTGCACTTATTTATTATTTATGGTTAAAAGTTTCCAAATTAATCTATTTATTTACTAAAAATCTTATAAAATTTCCACAATGGTGACGCCAAATTTACTTAATTTTTATTTAATTTACCCTACTCGAAATTGTAGTAAATACCAATATTCGCTGCCATACCGACATAATTTACTATTTCCTTCAATTTATCATCAATTTACTTGAATTCATACACGGCCTAAATCGAAAGCTTAAGATCATAGGTTAGGAATAAAATCTATGATATACATTCTATAAGTATAGATCTATCAGTCTATACCTGTTACAATTTAGTATTATTTGCGAATTGTGTTCAAATAAAAGTTATACTAGTTCAGTGTTTCATGTAAAAAAAATTATTTAAAATCAATTACAGCTAACAAGCCAATTAAGATAACATTGACCCAAATTTTCGTAGACCTATTTTTTTTTGAAATTGTTTTTCTTTGTGCAATCACATCATTTTTTTTCTCTAAAATGTTTTTATATAATTCAATCAAAAAAAGAGCTGAAGAGAGCGACAATTATTCACACCTCATGAATAAATTCACAAATTTGTTCCGTAATTAATATATTTATTTCGGTCGTCATACAATCGGTATGTATGTAGGTATGTAGGGGTTCTGCGTTTAGTGTTTAGTGTCACAATGTGTTAAGTGATCAAATGGTCCGGTGGCCACAAATCGTTTTGTGGGAATTGCAAAAGTTAATGACGGCTTTTGTGCAACAGGAAATTTGACAAACGAGCGAGTCTAGGCGCAAAACCCCAACTCATTACGCACTGCAGCGCCTTGAGGAAGTGTTAAAGTGCACTTCGGATTAATGGGTTGCTTGAAAACTTAACCGAAACAGTTTTGAGTGACGTTCAAGTGCCGACAGCAGGCTCTTTACCACCACACTTTCTGTAGGAACACGATATTTTTGCTTTGTTTTTTTTTTCTTTGAAGAGTGAAATATATTTTAATAAATTTTGCTAAATTATTGCGGTGCAATAATAAAGGCTTAGGCTTAAATTGTAATTGTAGCGCAACTAATTATCTTACAGCACATCAATAAATGAGTTTGTTGCTTTGGGATTTAAGCATTTAAACCTCCACTGCGGAGGAGCTTATGGTTTTATTAAACCACCAAAACAAGTACTTAAGCCACACAAAATAGTTACAAATGCCGTGTCAAACGCTCGAAACACAGTTTAAATGCTTGGCGCAGATTTGCACTTGTCGCCGCGTTTCGCTGCGAAGTATCTGAAGCGCCTCAACTTCACACTTTAAAGTATCTATGCGTTTGCCTATCGCACGCCAAAAAATTAATAAAATCAACAGTGCGTCAACGGCCATTAAACTTACAATTTTTTCATTTAACATTTAATTATGTTTTCTTTTCATATTTTTTGATAAATTGTCACGGCAAATACGCAAGCGCAACAGTCGCGTTTGGAATTTTGTCGCACGCGTTTCCAACTTGCATTCGAACCAACTTGCGGTGAAAAAGTTCTCAAAATGCTTAAATGTGGACAAAACAGTTTTGTGGCTTCAAAAAGGATCATTTTTATCGAAGTCCTTATATGCTTCTATATGCTGTGCACTGCGGTCTTCAACATCGAATCGAAAGTTCAAAATAATTCATGGAAGGAGTTGATATTTGGAAACAATCATTGGACTAAGATATCAACGCGAGATGCAAGATGTGTGTGATTTTTTTAATTATTTTCAATATATCTCATTAAATAACTCATTAAATTTTTGTTGAAATTGGATTAAGTATATATTATAAACATAATACTTTGACAGGACACAAGTTCAACTCTTGGTACTTGCAGTCTAAAAATTAATTACTAATAATTAATTATCGGGTGTTTATTAGCTGCATGAGAACTTAAATTGCTAATGCAAGACAGAAATATTATTTTAATGAAATACTTTTAATAATAATCTGGTAGATACTTTCATGGCATTTAATTATTTGAATAAGATTTCCGATATATATTCGCCGCGGCTTCGAATTACACGGTCCATTCGATCAGTCCAATTTATGACTATTTTCATTCAATAAATGTATGGCATCAAAGGTGGCATAGACATTGGCTTCCAATTCTTCAAGATTTGCGGGTTTCTCGGCATAAACCAATGACTTAAAATAACCCCATAAAAAGTAAACAGTAATCGTGAAGTAATCGTGAAACCACTTCTGGAAACAAAGCTGTTAACAAATTGATTTCACAATGAATCGATTGTAAAGCTGTAAAGCGCTGTATGCTTCGTCTTGTTGGAACTAAATATTATCGATGTATAACTGATTAATTTTTGGAAACAAATCTTTAGTCAGCATGGCTCGATAGTGCTCACCATGCACTGTGAGTACTATCAGCTACTTCCTATTTCGAAAAAAATAAAGACCGTTGACGCCGTCACACCAAACAGTCAATTTTAATGGATGTAAGGATGATTCGTTAACGGTTTGAGGATTATCTTCATTCCATATACGACAATTTTGCTTATTGACGTAGTGATTTAATCAGATTAAATTGCGAACAGATTTATTTTTTCCAAAGTAACTTTAAACAATTTGGAGACGCTGTTCCAACGACAACGATTGATGATGAATTGCCAAACTTTAATAAACAGAAATGTCAACGCAGTTTGATATTATCATTTGTCAAAGCATAGTTATCCATATCGATAAATCTTCTGCAAAAATAACACTCGTTATAAGATATAAATCCAAAAGGCAACTGATGACGGGTATTTGCTAATACTCGACAAAACTGTATGTTCAGCTAAAAATTCAATTAATTTAAAATAATAAAATTTTGTTGTTCCAATTTACTACTGTTCAAAAAACCTCTCACGAATAATACAATATAAAAAAAATGGTTTTAAAAATTTTTAATAAAAAAAGATGCTTTAAGATGCAATCACAACATTATAAATTGAAAAAAAGAGCTTCTCATAACGTTTAATTTTCGAAAATCAAAAAATAGATACATTGCAGTGACAGTCACATTCTCTGTAACTGCCCAGTCTTGATCTGGGCCAGGAGGAGGTCACTGGGTCGAGGACTACTCTGTCCTTCTGCCTTATTATTAACTGTTAAGTAATTTCTTCTGAACAGACATATATGAGCACATCAATATCATGCAGAGTGAAACCCTCATCATTCCTTTCTATTTTAGTGAACAAAGTTAATGTTGTTGAGGTCAAGTATCGACGAAGGATAACTGATGACTATACCAAAGCAATGTCTTCTTCGAGTCCATTTTAGTGTTGCAACAAGTAATTTAACAACATAAATTTTCGTGTCCAAATTTACTCTACAACTTCAGCCCAATTAACCGTTTCATTAATGTGTCGAAATTCCCTTACTTTGCCTGAGGCTAGTTTAGTTAAGCAAATGCACTAACATTAGTTTTCCTTACATCCAATTTTCTTCCACTATCATCTCCTCTCAACATATCCGATCAAATTCATTCGTTTTCCAAATTACACGTTATATTTTAAGCCAGCTTTACTTAAGAATTGTTGTAGATGACCTCTGAACTTAAAAAATGTCTATGATAAAATCTTTTTTATTATGTTCATCATCACTAACGTAACTTAATTTATATAAATTTTTGTTATAAATGTAGTTCTACCTATCTTCACGGTTGTACCGATTGGTCCCGGTACGTGTACAGCACCATCGGGCGAAGTTGGTAATTGCATACAAAGCAAAGATTGTATGTTGCGAGGTGGCATACCAGCAGGTCCTTGCGCAGGTGGATATGGTTTATGTTGTGTTTGTAAGTTTTCTATATAAAAAAATAAATACACTAAACTTAAATAAACTAAATTACAGTTCTTCAAACTTGTGGCGGTATAATACGTGAAAATTCAACATACTTTGTTAATCCCAATCATCCAGATGTGTACGATGGTACTGGCAGCTGTCAGGTCACAGTGCAAAAAGTGCACCCGGATATATGTCAATTAAGGTGGGAGATAGTAACAAATAAAGTATAGTTTTTTATATATATTTCTGCAGACTGGATTTGGATATGTTTAATATTGCGCCACCAGAACCAGTTAATCATTTATGCACACAAGATCAATTATTGGTTTCCGGCGGCAGTCCGACACCAACTATTTGTGGCTCATCGGCCGGCGATCACAGTATATATAGTTTCATACTTTCTCCAGATAAAGTACAATTTTACTTTTTACTTTAGTGTATATTGATGCAGGATTGGGCCAAAGTAATCCTATTCTACTCTCACTTATAACAAGTGGCACATTTCCACGAATTTGGCGCATACGCGTTACCCAAATACACTGTGGCAGCATAAGTCGTGCTGATCAGGGCTGTTTGCAATATTTTACTGGCATTAGTGGACGTGTACGTAGTTTTAATTTTAATACCATTTCGGGTCGACAACTATCGAATCAAGATTATAGCATATGTATACGCACAGAACGTAACTTCTGTGGCATACAGTACAATGCTTGTCCTGATATGGGTGAGCATTCAATACAATAACTAATCCAGTGACTATAACTAATTTTTGAAGTCTTGTGTTTATAGAAAATAATCGTTCACGTTCATTCACCATATCGGGTAATTCGAATAATCCCACTGGTACTATGGTGGGCGGTGGCACACAAGTAACAACAAACACTTGCATTAATGATTGGTTGCTTATAGGTTGCATACGTTCCACGGATCGCATACCACCGCCAAGCGCTTGTGAGGACCGTGTTTGTGGTGGCACTTTTAGTGCAGAAGTGGGCAATTTACAGAAAACTGTGCAATGTATTATAGTATTTTAATTAATTTTATTTTGATTTAATTTCTTGTTAAATTTTTAGCGAGTGTGCGACCTTTTCGATTATATTTTCATGCAGACGGTATTGAAGCACCCACCGATATGGACAATCGTGGTTTCTGTTTGGACTACGTGCAACAGCCGTGCACAAATGGCTTTTAGTTGAGAACATTAAAAATAATATAATTAGTTTTATATATAATTTATTTATTTTAATTTAATTGTTTTCGTTGTTGAATAAAAATATGTATACATAGTTATGTGTTTATAGTATATATAGATTTTTGTATAATAAATATTACTTTTTTAATTTATTACAGTATGTATCAGAATTTTGATATTACCTAATTATATTAAAAACAATTTAAAACATTTATTATTTTTTAATCTTCGTTATAAAGTTGGTTGTTCAATCCAATCTTAATAGAATATAAAGATTGATAAACAATGTCTAATACAAATAATTATTATTAAATTATAATACATAAGAATTAAAAACAAAGCTATAACTTAAAAAATAATACTTTACAATAATTAATTTATATTTATCTAAAATTTGCTTTTATCGTGATTTTCTTTTTTTTAATAATTTTAAACTAAATTTTTCTTTGTTATTAGAAAACAAAACATTTTATATATATAGATATGGGATTTCACTATAAAATAGCTACTTTTTCGTAAGGCTCAATTCTTCACAGTTTTAATGAATTCTATAAAGTCGCTAAATGGCATGAAGCACATTTTTTGTTTGGTGTCCCTGTTGTTCACTGGTATCAGCTGAGATCGTCTTGGAGTCGAATCGTCAATAGTTTATAGTTTATAATTTTTAGTTTTTTTTTACCCTCGTCAGTCTACGATTTTGACAAATACTAATAAGTTTTAATTAAAGCTGCTACGTGTTGTTTCTCTTCCTCAGTCAAACCATTTTTGAGAGTGCGACGCACTAAAAAAGTAAATTAATGTTATTAATAAGGTTTTTTTTAACTTCATATAAAAACAAATTCAAGAAAAATTTATTAGTTACAAAAATCAAAATTCAGTTTTCTTCTTTGCATGCTTAAATGATTAGAAATCGTTTGTTTATTAGGCAGAATATGAACTTATAAATAATATAGTATAAAAGTATAGATGAAAGGATATACAATGACAACAACAAATGCCAAAAAGCAGATATACTTATATATATAGATATGTAATGTTTTTGCAAAGCACTAGTGATAATATAAGCTACTATATATAACGAACTATATTCGAAACTTATTGTTATTTTTTATATATTTATTATATTTTATTTTTTACTTTAACATCCGTTTTGGCGAAAGAACCTAATTGCTTAATATATACTATTATTTTCAATATAAAACTAAGGGAGAAAATCTGACTGGATAAGATCTAGACACTATAGTCTAATATATTTATACGAACAAACAAACATATATATGTTCACAAGTAAAAGGTATCAATTATAATAAACATTTAGTAATATGCAAAAAAAAATTATATAGATATATTCAATACTCGTTATGAGAGATCATTTGCATGGGATCGATCAACAGTGATAAGCTTCAGCAAGGCAATAATCCAGATTCCTGACTGTAATAACTGTTTGTGCATCGAGTGTAAGAAGCAGATTCAGAAAAACAATATATAAGTATAACGTAACAGATCCTAAAACTAATGTCTTTCCAGAACGAGTTCTAATATCCAATACTATCACCTACCCTACCCTCCGCTGGTGTAGTATTTTTTAGGAATAACCACTTCGAGATTCCAGTTTCATAACAACCAGATTTTTAACAGTTCTCTACCTAATATCTCCAGGAAAGAGTGACATTTTTCCTAAACAGTAAGAACTGTTTTATTCCAATTGATATTAGGATACAGTCTTACTGCTAGACTGTTATTTAATACGCATAAATGCATCAACTTCCAATCAGTGCTCAAACTGCTGCCCTAATTTCATAAAGTCGGCCTTCTTTTCGCATATCCCAATGCACACCAATTCGAAGCCTATTGATCTGTAGCTGTGCTTCATTCAAGCAGCTAAGTTCTCTACCCTAAATCAGGAAATGTCACCTATTCAAAATTCGATCTTGATCCCAAACAAGTTCTTATCCTTTTCACACTTTCTCTACCCAATCATATCCTTATCCATGTATTCGCATTTATTATTCTATTATTCTATTATCCATGTATTCTACATTTATTGGGTTATATCAACAAAAACAATCGCACTCTATCCCTCTTTCCTCTAACGTCTCATATATTTTCTTACTCCAGAATGTTAAATCATAAGGTAATATCTGTCTTGTTTGCACTTACACTTGATCATCAAAGACGATTAGGTGCCGATGGCTTTTAAATCAATTTAAATACCTTATATTCCTTTACATAATAGCAAATATATTTTTCATCACTGAAAACAAATACACAATCACTACTACATATAACTCCCATATGGTCGCTATTTACTAATAAATTAACTTACAATCAATATCGAATCAAAATATTACAGTTCAAATGTGATGGATTACGGAGAAAGTTTCTGAAATAAAAGGTTTAATGGAGAAAAATAATATTCATATCGCAGCTATAAATGAAACTAAGCTCAGAAGTTTACTAAAAAGAGATGTTATATTAAGACCCTTAGGGTAATGTAGTGGACCTATTTGCAATTAAGCTTAATATTCAGATTAATCTTTGGTCTTTAACTAACTTACTTGTGGTCAGTTTTAATCATTATTGAAACGTTATGCTTTTGTTTTTAGTTTAATATCTAAGTCATATAACTAAATTTTTAATACAATCATATAAAATTTTCGCAGACAAAAGTCATTTCTTTTTGAAAAGAACATATATGCATTAGTCGGATGGCTTATGATTATGTTAGGAGAGTGGATTTGAAGAAGTAGTTAGTTACATTTGACATAAGAAAGTATACGATATGTATATGTGTAAAATATTATACAGAAAAATATATACATAAAAAGATCTACACATTATTTTTAAAATTAATGTTAAGAACAGAAAAAAAATATACGAAAAAAAAAATAAAACACTTAAAATTTCGGACATGCTGCTTTGTCGGAAAAAAAAAATTTAAAAAATAACAAAAAAAAAAAGAAAAAACAAATAAATTATAAGATTTAACTAACCAAAACTCCCTAAAATGGTAACGCGTTTACGGCGACGGTGCCCTTTCAACAGTGAATCCTTCCCTGGTACGCGACCTCTTGACTTTTGATATCAGAATTTGAACGATTGATTTTGAGTTTTGATTAAATTGATGATGATGACGAAGTTAATTAAATGGAAAATATTAATTTAATTAAAAATATTAATTAAGGACCAGATTTATACAAAATACAAAAAATAAAAAAAAAAAATCCAGTAAAAAAATGTGCGAAAAAAATACATATAATAGCGAATCATAGTGATATTAGTGTTTTTTTAAGCAAAATGTGAAAGCGTTTTTAATTAAAAAAAATTATTTAATTTAAAAACATCGAAACCTAAACCACCAATTAATTTATCCACAATATTATAGTGTTAATAAGATATACAAGAGTATTTGGAATATTAGCGAATTTAACAAAAAAAAAATATACATAAATTTGAAAAAATATATTAAATTTTGGAAGACTATATAGAAAAGCATGTATGTATGTGTGTGTGTGTGGGTGTGTGGGTGTGTGTTTTATGACTTTATGTGGTTTAACCCTTCTTGTACTTTAAAGTTGCCATATAGCACATATGTACGTTTGTATAGTTCATAAGTGGTTATATGCTATTTTAAAATAAAATAATTTGTTTATATTTTTATTGGTACATGTGTTTGCAGTTATCTAGAGTAACACCTAAACCTATGGAAACGACTTCAAACTGCAAACTTACGTGATTTGCGATCTGCATGACGTGTACGTTTACGTTCACGCGGTGTTGTTCGTGTGCCAGGTGCTTTGGTTGCAGTCTTAACTAAAGATTCTAGTATTTCATCATCGCCGTCTGTGTAATTCTCATCTGTAAATTGTGACATGCAAGAACGTAAATTGTCAGCACGTTTACGACGCCACGTTAATGTACCATCTGCGGTATCTGCACTTGGTGTACCCAATAAAGTTCTAAAATATATTCATTTATTATATATTCACAGTTTTATATTTATTTTAAATAAAAAATTACTTAAGTTCTGCATCAGCACGATCTTCTTTGGTTTTAAACTTGGCTATATCGATTATCATCTTGCCACGCGTTTTATTTCTCTCTCGATGATTGGCTTTCTTTTCGATTTGTTGCTGTACTCGTTCCCTTGTGGTGCGATATTCCAACGCGAATTCAGATACAATACGACAAAATTCATTTGGTTTCGATTCTGATACACTATGTTGTGGCACACCAAGCCACAATAGGAACTTGCGATATCTAAAGCGATATATGATGATGACTTTAGCTTGAATAATTTTATTTGTAAGTATTATTTCTCACCTATTGATAATTCGGCGATGCACAATTTGCAGGATTATAATACGCTCTGCACAATCAGCTAAAAAGTCAACTAACTTTTGTTGCAATTGCGGTGGACAGTCGTGTTTTGAGATAAGTTTCAATCTGTCCCAAGAAGCTTTACATTCCATTTCTAATTGATTTAGATTATATGCTAATTCTGTAAAATCTGCTTTCGAGGCACGTGTAATCGGTCCAATTTCAGAGTAAAGGTCTGTAGTTTCATTGCCTGATTCCATGACCATGTGACACAAATGATGAAGCAATGAATGCTTTTGCACTGTATCTTTAACTTCAGGTACCTGGAAGAGAATATAATTATAATATAATTGTAATGAATGAATATAATTTCATAGTTTTGAAAACATTTAACAAAAAACCATTTTATTGTAATAGGAAATACATGGGGGAAACTGCAAGATTAAAGTCAATAACTTCAACTCTATGTTCTTATATTGAGTGTAAGTCGTGTAAATGCGCTAAAGAAGTTGTTTAAAGGCTACCAACATGTTCAGTAGAGCTATCCTCCCAATATCCCTTATTTCATATCATGTATATATCGGCATCTATTGCAATAGAACATAAATCAGTGACGTCGAATACCAAGGAGGAATAACAGCCCTTCTGCAATTACAACAAAGCAAGCTTTAACAGGCTTATATCTAATATCTCCTAAAAGGAGTGACACTTTTCTCGTGCATTAAGAATGTCTTAGCCCAATTAAGACAAGTATATTGTCATATGTCAAACAGTTACTTGTCATACATTAATGCGTCAATTACCATTGTGTGACCTTAATGCAGCTTGCCCCTACCCTGAATAATATCATCCATCTCTTTTCATGTCTTAATGTAAATAATAATTTGAACAGTTGATTTGTGATGAAGTCTTGACTCCGATTAGTTTCAATTATAATTATCTACTTTTTTTCCAAACAACCTCCCATTTGACACTTCCTTTTCTCAATCATATCCTAATCTATATATTCGCATGTGTATTTTCCTTTATGTTATATGCCATATTGATCTCTACGTCCTGTTGCGTTATAATTGAGATGCATAAGTAGTTTCGAACTTTGGAACAAGATCAAGGAACCACCGATTCCGTGAAGAAATTCACTTTTGAGAGAGGTCTCCTAAAAACACTACCTGACACGCGTTTAGATGTAATCAACACAGATACGAACATGCAGAACGTTTCAACTATAGACAATAAACTAGTCCACAAATAACATCAAATGTAAAGCACGAAGTTAAGTAGGATATAAGAGTTCAATGGAATATCCATACTTTAATAGAAGGTAAGGATAACATAAGAAAAAAATATTATTACTCATCTAAAGTTATAGATTGGCAAAGATAGAGATGTTATACAAATTATTTTCAAAGTAATATAAAAGTTTTAATGGAGAGATTGAAAGGTTTTCACAAAGAAACTGAAGAAGGTAATGCGTTAACCGTTAAATAAAATATACTACAAGTGATATACTTACTTTTAATAAATATTCAATTTGGAAACCTTTAACTGGTGTACCATTCAAAAATATTCCCACCGATAGTAAAGTGGATAGAATACATTTGAAGGTGCGATTACTGCGTAAAATTTCTATGCCTTGTTTTAGATCCATAAGAGGTTCAGCAATTTCTTTCTATAATATAGAAGCAATATATATATATTTAATATTTAATATAAACATAATATTTCAAACACTATACTTACCTCACTATTATCAAAATCCAAGCGGAAAGCCCATAATTTAAGGCGTGCTCCCAATTCAGATATTGTAGCTAAAGTTAACAAAAACTGCTCAGCACTGCCCAATGGTAGCTCTGGATTGGCTAACTGCAAATTTAAAGTAATTTACATAAATTATTTCATTTTTCTTTAATATGACTATATAAGTATATATGGTAATTACTTGCGCTTCTTGTATTTTGCACCGTTCCTCATCGGTAGGTAGCATATTTAATAACTTATCGATACCTTCTCTGGTTACTACCGTAACATCCATTTTCAGGATCGCTGCTTTGATAGCACGTGGTGGTGGCAATTTTGTAATTGCAATGTTTATCGCATTTGAACGCTTATGGTCCAACACAATAATCTCCTTGCTCTTATTTATTTCATGTTGTTTCTGAATTAAATAAATTTGAAATGTTAATATTTTCCGTTTAACTAAAGTTTTTCACCTAATTGAATGTAAAATAATAAAGAAAAATAAATAAATAGAAGAAGCTTTACACCACAACCGAAATTTGTGCAATAAATAATATAGTATGATAAAATATTTCTTAATATACACTATTATTATTAAAAATAAAATAGTGGTATTCACGATCTTGTGTAATAAGCTGGGTAACCGAGTCACATAGCACAGTGCAAAGCAGAAACTACAATGAACAACTCGAGTAAATGTGTTGAAGCGGGTTCTGTATACCATTCTAGTATTATGTAGTATTTTCTGTGTGGAACCAAACTTTCAAATCTTAAAAGAAATCATACTTAAAAATATATACTGCATTTTTAATAAAAGGTTGAATTCGTTGTTAAAGTCTATTTTCAATTATTAAATATTTAGAAAAATTCCGATGAGGTTTAGCTACTGCGACTTCCGCAACAAACCTCTCTATCTCCCTAATCAATTAAACGAATAATATCGGAAATTGAAAATTGGATGCAATATATCTTTTGTTATTATAAAACGTAACGTGAAGTAGAAAACATAATAAAAGTGGTGGGTTTTCACAAAACAGAGATGGAAGATTGTACATTCAGAGTTCAGAAGCACAAACCAATTTGAGTCCAATTGATGTTTGACTACGTCCCATTGAAGTGATTAGGTGTCGCCGTCTTTATTCATTTTACCTTCAATTTAAATCCCACCCATTCTTAATGCACTCTTGTTTCCAAACAATCCTCTTTATTTTCACAGTTTTCTTTACCCAACCATATTCTGCCATTCATTCACCATTCATGATATCTGACATATAGATCTCTATGGGGTACTACATTGTACATGGACAGTGTTTATCAGGAAAATGTAAGAGAAGCACCAAAATGGGTTTACATAATTTAAATGTGGAAACAAATAGCAGTTAACAATTAACTTTGATATGAAACTGACGTCTTGCCATAGAAATGGTTCCTAAACTAAATAGGTCATGTACAATTCTTACTATATAGAGATTACTTTCTCCGTAATATCGCGTTGAACTTTGTTGAAAAGTAAGTTGCAATTCATCCAGAATCTTAAGAAAAATGTTGAATCTGTGATAAGCTCAAATAAGCCATCACTGTTATTCGATTTTATGTACTTATATTTATTTGACGTTATACGATCCAATATATTCAAGACATTCTTTTACTGGTTAATATATCTTATAGAAGATTATTTATGTTAACATTTTTATGATTTAAATCCAATATATAATTTCATGCTAAAGAACCCATTATTTTCAACGAAGTACCAAGCTAACCGCTATTATCGAATCAGGTGCAATGCATTCGGGGTGTGGAGAAAGATGTTTCATCTGTGAGGAGCGCAAATAATCTTCAATGGTTTTATATAAATGAAAAAAAATATACTTAGTCTGTGGAACAAATTGTGTATATTTGTGTATTTTAGTGACAAAACATAATGTACAATAGACACATATATAAGATGCAATAAACAAATTGGTAATTAAATAAACAAATTTTAATAAATTAAAAGAAGTACGGATAAGTGACTAAAAGTACCAACACCACAAACCCAAAATTTATAATTAATTAAACAAAATGCACTCACCTCCTAATGGAGTGTAAAATCGTTATTTATATGTACGAATATTTTTGGTAGTTAAATTTTATTAATTGATTTTAAATGTAAATTATTATTTTTTTTTTTTTGAATTAAAAAGTTATACATATATCCATTTTAATCCGTTGAGAAGTTATTAATGTCGGTATCACCAATTGTTGACATAAAAGTCGCATACATAAATCAAGTACAAAAAAAAAAATATAAAAACGAGACAAGAATAATTATTTTTTAATTGTAAATTTAAAACATATTTTAGTCATTTCAATATATAAAAATTAAAATTATTTAAAAATTGTAGCCAATATTATTTAAAACATACATGAGAATATTAATTTACTGTTTAAAACAACCTTAATGGCCACAATTTTAGTATCATTAACTAAGTCTTATCTGTCTGTGCTATCCTGTATCTAAGTACACAGAGTTAATTCAATCAGTTATACTTTCTAATCTTACCTTAGACATAAGATCCTTTGCTCTGGATTCGAATAGATGTTCTAGTTTTTGTGTATCAACTTGTGCAGCCGGCAACTCATCCCAAATAGTTTTTCCAATAAGATTTGATACCATATCCTCTCGCACTTCTTTCCAAAATAATTTGACCTAAAGGTAATGAGTAAGTATGAATTATAATGAATTATAATAATAAAATTAAAAAAATATTTGGAGTAACTACTCTTTGCTGCAATAGTGTTGAATGTGGAAATCTTAAGAAAATACCCAGCCTACTTTCAACGAAGCGAGAAGGCACTGTTGTAATAATCGGATTTTGTGTATCAGAAACTTATATCGAAATAAATCTATTGACTAAACAAGAGATGCTACATATATTCATATCCATTTGAAAGGAATGAACAATGATGCAATTAAATGGTAAATATATTCTATATACTGTAACCTTCTTGCACCATCGTTAACAACAATAAAATATTGCAAAGCTGAATTTAAATGTGGTCAAACTAGTGTTTTTGATGAAGAGCATCCGGGTCGTTCAAAAGAGGTCACAACTGAAAAAAATATTGAAAAAATCCAAGATATTGTGTTGGATGATCCAAAACTTAAATTGCGTGGGATAGCAGAGATGACAAACACATCATATGAACATGCAACGAATATTTTACATAAATATTTGGGTATGGAAAAGCTTTCGGCAAGATGAGTGACGCGATTGACCAAAAACGACAACGACTTCGTCATTAAAAATATTGTGACTGTGAGCATTGAGTAGTGACAATTGATGAAACATAAATCCATTACTTCACACCTGAGGGAAACAACAAGCCAGTTAACGAGCCCAGGGGAAGTGCTCCCCAGTATCCACGAACTCAACAATCTGATGGAAAAGTTTTGACTTCTGTATTTTGGGATTCAAAATTCAAATGGAATAATTTTCATAGACTATTTGGAAAAAGGAAAACCGATAACATCCGATTACTATTACATATTATTGGATCCATTGAATGAGGAAATCAAAGAAGCTCAAAGAAGACCATATTTGTCGAAGAAGAAACATTTTGTTTTTGCAGGATAACGCACCCATTAACACGTCAATGAAAACCATGGCAAAACTAAAAAAATTACGGTATGCATTGCTTCCTCATCTCACTCATATTCTCCAGATTTGACTCCCAGTGACAATTACCTATTTCCAAATTTAAAAAGATGGGTCTAGGGAAAGAGATTTACAACAAATAATAAAGTGGAATGGGAAACTGGCATATTTTTGAGGACTTGATTAATCGTATTATTTAAAAGGTATCCAAATGTTGAAGAATCGTTAACTCGGTATGTCGAGCTAAAACGGGACTATATTAAAACATAAAATATAATTTTCCAAAAAAAACGGGTTTTTATTACTTAGGCCGGGTATTTATTAATTCACCTAGTATTTATATTTATTTGATTATAAATTTGACTATAATGGCAACTGCATTTACCAAAATCTGTTAAAAGATTTGACTGTGGTGAATGTGTAATTTTACATTAAATATTAGTTTTATAGTTGTGGAAACATATGTGTTCCACACATATATAACACAATTGCACAAAAGTGTGGATATTGGATCTACAATCTACCTATTATTGATTACTTACTGTCTTTTTGTTTTTCTTTATTGTAGCACCAATATCTCCATTGACGGAACCATTAAGAGAACTGTTGACACTATTTGTTAGACTAGGTGGTGGATGTAACATATTTGCAGGCAACATTGGTGGTGGTACACCACTTATTGGTGGTGGAGGCGGTGGTATGCCACCACCTAAACCGCGTGGAGCTAATAAATCTTTTTCATCATCTGAATTTAGATCGGTAAAGTCGAGATCACAGAGATTAAGCGGACGCGTTCTATTCCTTACAAGCTCCTCCCAATGAAGTTCATTTTCTGACTTTTTATTTTCAGTTTTCTTGATATCATGATCCACGCTGGAAGAACTATAAATATTATAAAATAAAAGAATTGATAATTAATAATTTTTTTAAAATAATTTTTTTGAAAACTTTGTTTCTAGAACCGCTACTGATCGTAAATACAATCTTAATTTTGTACCCATACATTTAATTTGTGTTTAATTGCTTATTGTATCTTATCAAGTTATCAAGTTTGCAAAGTAAGTGACTATAAAGCGTACTTATCATTGCAAAACTGGCGGTAGTTTTGATATACCTATTGGTCGGTGTATATACATTGTGGTAGTTATAATTTTATACAAATACATATTATCTGATATATATACATATGTAAAAAATTTCTTTTCCACCGAAATACCTAACATAAAAGCATACTGGTGGTAATGTCCAACAGCTATAAAATATGTATATTTGAGTTTTCGTCAGCCTTTAAAATTCTAAGTATAAACTACTGACAGCATTGGAAACTTCTGATTATTTTTTTTTTTTTACTGCAGTTTTTTCTAGAATAAAACCGATAAGATTATTAATAAAATGATAATGCATTTGCAATTCCAAATAAACTGAAGATATTGTATTTGAAGAATATAGAAAAAATGCAACATATTATCTTTCGTAAAAACTCTAAAAATTATATCTTTCGGCTTATTTTCTTTTCAGTTATTTTCAATTAACTTAAAGAAAATGTCACGAGTAGATACAGATGTAAGTCTTATATTAATACAAGTAATGCATAAAGTTATTATTTAAACTTTAATCAAAATTGTTAAGATAATTTATTATATATGTAAATTAATTCTTTTTCAGTTCGATATTGCTTGCGAAAAAGTTAGGGCCTTCACCAAACGTCCCACCGATGATGAAATGTTAGCATTCTATGGACTCTACAAGCAGGCCACCGTAGGAGATTGCAATATCCCTGAACCCAGTGATGAAGATTTAACTGCCAAAGCAAAATGGAATGCATGGATTAGATACAAAGGTATAATCAAGCAGGTGGCCAAGACTGGTTATATTTTAACCCACAAGAAGTATGCCCCACAATATGCCTAAGGTTTACCATATATATTTTTAGTTCTTGACTGATTATGTAGTTAATTATGTATATGGTTATGTTAAACAAACAGTATTAAATAAACTAAATATTAAACTTAATAATAAAATTTTTTTATTTATGAATTTATTTAAATTAAATAACATAGTAATTTAATTATTATGTATTATATATTGCGGTAGCAACTTCTGAGGCTACCGGCTAATAAAATTATTATAATAAAATTAAATTAATTTTATTTAACTATATCCACTTACATGATGGAAATTGTCTACTATATCCTTGAGATTATACTGTCAATAATAACAAAAATTGATATGAATAATAATAGAATATATATTATTATTACCACGGTTAGAGATATATACTTTTGCTATATTTCAAAAATTACTCTCATGAGCAATGGGAACGTAATTATTTTTTCTTCGTTTATAAAAATTATTACGTATTTTACAATAAACATATTTTTTAAATTTATGTCATAAAATATTTTTAAATTTATTAAAAAACATTACTGACATTTCAATTTCTTGAGAAATATAAGTCCAGTAGTTCTTGGATTATTTTTCTAATTTTAATATATGTTCTATACTTTATTTGCAAATAGAGAAACTGAAAAGATGTAATTGAATAATTCATCCAGAAACAAGGTCACATGATCTTCACAGCACTTTACAATAGACTTATCTACTCTAAAAGAGATAAGTAATTTTGTGGTGACTTCTGACAATCAATTGCTAATATTATGGAATATTAAGATAAACAATTTGTGTTAACAGATTGAAACTGAGTTATGTTACTTACAGGGAATACGATATTACCAACCAAGCACCGGTTATTACAGAAATATAATTCTGCAGGAATGACTACACATCGGGATCATCTCATGAACCCTCATGAAATTCAGTAAAAACTATGTGCTCAGGCTATTCAGAATATTTCTCAAGAAAATTAATCGATTAGCTTAAATAATGTTAAAATCTCCTTATTTTGGCATTAGTTTATCACATCGCTAGCCAATTTTTATATAGTAACCTTGAATATTCATCGCGAAGAAGATGTGTGTTAGCTACATTTTAGACAATAACCTTGGAAATTCGGTTACATTATATATATTTTTGCAAAAGAGGATCGATTTTGAATTTTCGGGGTTATATATGGCATCCAAGAGCGAGATGTTGAAGTATATTATAAAATAAAGGGTACAGCTAACCCTAAGTTGTAGTACTAAATAGTGACAGTATTGAGTATTTCTCCTATTTACTGTAGGAGTAATACGAAACCATTTTTAATTAATTGAGGATCATTTAGAGATTTGATTTCAGACAGGTCAAGTGTTAGCTTCGCAATATATGAGTCGTTAAAGACCACATTCAAGTTCTTGCTTGTGATCTACCTATTGTATAATGTATAAGCTAGATGCGTATTTATACTAATATTGTTTATAAGACCGTCTATATGTGTACTTTTGAAGATAGTTCAGCTCGCGTGAATACAAACTTACATTTTTAGTCTCTCCAGGCACTATTATTTTATTATTTAAAATTATGTATAAGTCTATATTGATTTTAAGGCAATTTATGACCTTTATGGGCATTATGTAAAACAAAGTCAAGACTTCTGTTTATATTATGATATATTTAGGATTGAAAAGATTTTTTATTAATTTATAATTAAATTATTAACTAAAAAAATTCAAATAATTTATAGATAAAAAAAACAATTAACTATTTGTTCATTTTTTCATTAATGTATGCCAATTCAGTTTTAAGCACACGTTTTTGCAAAGTGAGATGCTTATTGAGTTCTTTATACAGATCCTCCTTTTCCAGGGGACGTTGTGAGTTTTGTTCTTCCCGAATCAACATTGAGAGATCTTGAGTTGATTTAATTATTACATTAAACTTTTCTTCTATATTTTTAATACTCATTTCAATATTTTCTATAGAATTTGATATCTTTTCAAGTAACTTTTCTTGATTCGAGTTATGTGGAATATCAGTCACCGAATTAGATTGCATATCAGTTTCATTTATAGATTGATTGTCTATTTCTTCATCTTCACTACTATTATTTGAAGAGGTTTCATTTATTTCCTCACGTTTATTTTCCCTACGACGTCTTTTATGTGCCATTCGACCCTTTCCACTACGTTTATTGAGTTTACGTTTTTTCTTCTTCTTTAAAGCAATTTTTTTCTTTTGGAACTAGATTAAAAATAAAGTAATTTAAGTTGATTGTTAAAAGAACAAACATGAAAAATACCAACATGATACGATAATAAACGCTTCCTATAGTTTGGATCTAATATATTAAATTCTTTCGTAATTTGCATCCAAGAACCTTGTAAAGCAGCTTTGGAATACATATCTTCAGCTATTAGCTTAGTATTTCTTATAAATTCTTGAAATTCGTTAAGATACTCGCTATTGACATTTCGAGATTTATTCAGATCTTCAGAACTGAAACAATATGTTTATTATTATTTTTTATATAAGGTTTATATAATTATGGGATTGAACGGAAAACGATCCAAATGTGATATAACATTATCTAGGCTAAATGATGACTTATTTTAACATTGTGAACGAACAATACAAAACATTCACCAAATAAAGTCATAATTTCTTTATATAGATATAGGTATATTTGACTTTTATTCAATCCACCATTTTTCAGTAAGAAGGATCTCTATATCTAAGAAGCATCTCTAAAGTACTAAAATCTATTCGAATTCAATTAATATTTGGCCACATATTGAGCAGATATAAAACTAACTATTTCGGACAAATGTCAGTAAGAGAATGACGCTCGAAGCGCCATACCTTTTTGATTCAGAAATTGTTCAATATATAAAAGCAAAAATTTGTCACCAAATCCTAATTGTCCTAATCATGATGCATGTCCAAATTGCAATACTATATCCCATGATGCAGAAGAGATCATTCATTTGAATGTTCCAGCACGTAGACAAATCTGAGTTTAGTTGAAGCAAAACTTAGCTGAGACCAGTGTATAACAAGTGCAAAATTTCATTGATCTGGGTTTCAGAACACCCAGAAGTATAAGGAAATGATTTTATTGATAGTTAGATTAGGATCAGAAGCAGCCTCAGCAGAGAAAGAAGTAGCGGTCTGATTAAATAAAAAAACTAATAATTAATCATTTTCTTAGAGTAACGGAAGATAAATAAAGGACTACAAAGGTTTGTGGAAAATCGTAACTATCATAACGAGGTTCCAATTTATCGAAAACAAACTATTTTATTGAGCAAAGCCAAGACTAAAAATGCTAAACTCACGGCGGTACTGACAGGTTACTGAACAGTGGATATCTGTTTTGAAAAATTGGATATTTCTTTCAAATTTAGGAGCTGCATTGGAGAAAAAGAAACAGGCACACATTTCCTTTGCAGATGACCCAGTCAAACTAATAGATTTTGCGGACATTACAATCTTAGATTTTCCAAAAATAATCTCCTTTATCAATCGTATACGTTTGGTTTTAAAACTTGGAACTTTATGGCGGGTTGTGTAGTAGCAGAACGACACTAATGGGTTAGTTAGATGAAAGAGGAAGTTTGGCAATTGTACCAAGCAACCAAGTGATACCTGCATCTATAACTATGGAGGAAAATTGTTGAACATTTATAATCCCGCATTTTTTTTATGTGTATTGAAACTACAGCTCTCTAAATAATGGGACATACACGCTTAATTATCCCACGATACATATAAATTTTAGTTCATAATAAATTTACGCATACTAACATAGTATGCGAATTATGCTTTCAGTTTACTGAGTCTATCCTAATAGCTGCTCTATTACAGCAACAACAATATAAAACCTTTATATGGTTTCAAAAACGGCTGGGTCTACGTCCCAGAGCCACTCGTCACCTATAACAACCTTCATACAATTTAAAATAATTGAATAATAAATGGCATAATGTTATTTTATTAATAGAACTTTATCTTTTATTGATGAAATTGAATCACCTTAATTTATTGAAATAAATATTGAAATAAAGTTTAATATTATTGAATATTGAAAAAAGCTTGGTCTACATAAACCAAGCATAAATTTATTATATTATCAGTTTTTTAACTATTACAGTAAATCAAATTTTATACTAAAACACAAAATTTATAGAAGAATTACACCCCATAAATTATAGATTTCTAAGTTGTTAATATACGATGAGTAAGATTATTATAAAGGAACCAATTATTTTAACAGCTAATCTACATTTGCTTGATATCTAAGTATAATTCAGTCTAAGGAAAATCCGATTATTGCAGTTTTGCACTTTTTATTGCATTTAATATAACAAAATCCAAACAATAATCGGTAAATGATAAGATTTATTTTTATTGAATAGGTTTTGGTAAGCACAGATTTCCGTACCGACTTTGCTATAAAAAGGAACTGAAATGAAGTAGAGAAGCATTAGAACAGCACTTCTATTACTACTAATAACAATGGATGTAAGTTCAAAATAGTTTTGTTAAAAAAAAAATTATTATAAAATTAGAACTGAAAATAAAAATAATTAATTTTTTACTACAGTTCCACACTGCTTGCGAGAAGGCTAAAGCTTTTACCAAGAAACCCACCGATTCTGAATTCTTGGAATTTTACGGTCTTTACAAACAAGCCACGGTTGGAGATTGCAACATTGGTAAGCCTAGCGCTATTGATCTAACGGCCAAAGCTAAATTTGACGCTTGGAACCAACATAAGGGCATGTCACAAGATGCTGCAAAGGCTGCCTATATTGGAGTCTATCAGAAATATGCACCCAAATATGCTTGAAGAATCAATTAGTAAGAAAGCTGTAAGAGGCTGCATTTCCTAATAAAATTTCTTATCCTTAGAATAAAGTTGGGACTAATGGTTTAGATATGCAAATTAAGTGTTCATCTTTGTTATTACATACATAAAAATATGTATTAAAAATATGTGTTAAATTAACTACAAAATAAATTGTACAAAAAAAAAACAGCAACTGCATTTCTTTATTACTATTAAATGTAATTAAACTATTAAGTAGCAAAATATATTAACAATTTTATAAGTGGCCAATAAATGCATCGTAAACATAAAATAAATTAATTTTTAATTAAATTAGCCGGCAACAAAGTTTCTTCTGGATATCGTCTATGATTACGCGTTAATGTACTTTGTGCTATTGATAGCAAATTTTCAGTTGAAAAAATAAATAAAAATAAAAACATTTATATTAATCTATATAGGCACAGCCATATGACTAACAATTCTGGACATTATATGCATTGTCACCAAATGTATATATGACATATTTATCTACATACATAAGAATAAAACTTTTTTAATCAATATTTGCCCACAATTTGTCAAAATTTCAGTTAGCACAGGTTCTGCTCTAATCATAAAATAGTAAATAATAATATTTCATATATATGGTAAAAACATATAAATCGATATCTTAAATAATGCATTAATATTGTCAGCCGTGCTAATACATTAACTTATCGAACAATTATCGCAGCTCTGATAAGTTTTATGACAGAATTTTGTCTTAACATTCATTTTTTCTGGTATAAAAGAGCGATTAGTAAAGTTTTCTAGCATTCATTGACTTCAAGTGGACCTAATTAAACACAACATGGACGTAAGTTACTTTAAGACTCTGCTCTACAAAACTGCACTGGTATTAACTTCTTCTTCTCTTCTTCCTTTCCGTTTTAATATAACAGTTCAGCACTGCATGCGAAAAAGCTAAGGCCTTCACCAAGCGCCCAACCGATGAAGAGTTCTTGGAATTCTATGGTCTCTTCAAACAAGCCACAGCTGGAGATATCAATGTTGATAAACCAGGTGCATTGGACTTGAAGGGCAAAGCTAAATGGGATGCATGGAACAAACACAAGGGCTTGTCACAAGATGCAGCCAAAGCCGCCTACATCGCAGTCTATAAGAAATACGCACCCAAATACGCTTAAATTTATACTTGTATGGATTAAATAAGTTATAGAACAAATTTAAAAATAAAAAAAATTCAAAAATAATAAGAGAAATTGTTTTTACTTTTACATTAAATAATAATTATTTTACAAACTGCGATGATACACAAAAATAATTGAAATTTAATTCAACTTTAGTGAAAAGTCGGAAAGGGTGTCTTAAGGGTTAACGAAGATGAACTCATAGACAGACATAAAGATGACAGTAGAAGGCTATGAAGAAAGGTTACAATACTACGTTGTTACTAAAGATTCACTATTAGCAAGATTTGATAGTCACAACGTAATAGTTGCTTTTTATTATATAAATTGGCTGTATATAATTCTACTATTGATACTAACTTAAGTTAAAAATTAATAAACGATTTAAATATGAGAGCATATGCTACTTTTTGATCAATTAGTCCGTACTTGATGAGTACAGCCAATTATTTTCTATATATAAATCTAACTATATTCTTATTAATTTGTAATCGTTTTTTATTTGGTGTTTAATTATCTTGATTATGAGAGGTATAAGATGAAAGAAAGAGATAGCACCTTGGCCCTACAGTAGTTGTGCTAAGAGATACCTATAACACGGTACTTAAAATTAAGATGGAATTAAATTTTTTTGCTCGAAGGTCACTGCCAGATTAATTTTAGAGGTGTCTACATAAAGTTCAGCAGAAAGTTATACGGTTGAAACCTCAGATCAGCCTTAATCGCGTCGAAGATCTAAATGAACCGATATACTTAAATACGAAGTGATTAAAATAATTATAAACTAATATAGCTATTAGTATAGGTTATATATATATAAGCTATATAAAATGTCATTACAAAATTGTGAGTGAATTCTTTCTTCGATGAGAAAAAACCTTTAGATAGTTTTTAAGTATAAGAGTAAAACCTCAGAAAACATAGGTTTTAGTGTAGTAACTACTATGATGATGTTATTTAAAAAATCCCTTTAGGAACTCTTAGTTGAAAAATTTTAAGAACAAACTATTTGACTATTAAAATTATATTAATTTGTTGCGGAAACATAAGTTTGATGGACTCAATTGATGGAGTCAATTAAATAACGCAACACAACAACAACGTATTTATTATAAATATTATTTATTGTTAAATTATTTAGTTTAATTTATATAATTCCAAGTAGATATGGATAATGCATTATAATATACTACCCATATCAAATTCTTTTAACTAGTTTCATGAATGGGGAGTTCATGAATAGTAGATAGTTCCATAACCTATCTACTGATTATATTCACTACGAAAGTTATCTACTAAACTTTCTTCATATATAAATTTTAAACTTACCGTGACATTTCACCTTTGCTTTTAGTTTTAGCTAAACCCTCTTTGGCTTTGTTTATAAGTCCTGACATATCTCCAACAATACGATTTTTCTCTTGTGTAGGACTTGTGGGCATATTGCTGAGTTTCTGTGTTAAGTCTTTCACGGTGTGATCCCGTTTTAATTGATTCAACACTTTTTGTTCGTCATCAGATTCTAAAGAAGATTCATAAACGTAAGTGGATAATACACATAAATATATACAATATAAAAATCTATATACATGTACATAATAAAAGTAACAACTGAACAGTAGAAGTTGTTGCTTTTATTAGATACTAACTACATCAGACATAACTCAGGTAGTATGCAAGTTTGTAACGCAAGAAGGAGGGGCGGTAATATGATCATTTTTGGCATAGTGTATGTGTGAATGAATAATAACTGCAGATTGGGCATTTTACAGAGCTTGCATTGTTAAGCTTACCTGATGGTGGCAACAAATTTTCTTGTTCCAATACAGCCTGACTATCAATTGACTTAGTAGATTCAAGTATTTGCTTACGTGGTAAAGTGAAACCAAACATTTCCATCGATGGTGGTGGCGGCGGTGGCGGTGGAGGAGGGGGTGGTGGTACCACACTCGCTGGAACAATATTTAAACATTGCAAATCTTCTGGAACAACTGGAACGACCGGAACTACCTCTATTTCTGCTATAGGTTGTGGAGGTACTTCAGCAGTAGGTGATTCTGCGAATACAGAATCATTTGAACCAGTGGGTGTAAGTGGACTTGTTGGACTTAACGATAAATCGTATTTATCGTCCACATTATCAATATTATTTATCACATTACTGTTAGTCTTATTATTGTTATTTGGTGTTGAGATTTGCGTAAAATCGAAACCGTTCAAAGCCTTCTTTGGACTTAGCACAGCTGCCAAAGCACTCTGTGCGCTTTGTAGCGTAGGGCTTTGATTCTGTATATGTAGATTCTTTGGTGTGCTCAACTGATTATAATAGTTGTTTAGACGATTAGCTTCACTTTCAAACTTCTTATATGATGTATTGTTATTGGGTTCCGGTTCGTGTCCGCGATGTATATTCTTCATAATACCATTGATCACAGTTGCGTTGCGTTCGATAAGCAGATTCTTCTTGGTCAAGAACTCGGGCGTTGCTTGCAATTTATTGTTGGCCTTATCGAAGCTGTTGTTGATAATGGAAATCGAGTTGCTGCCTTGTAGTTGTTTCGTAGGACTCATTAGGTTGTTGTTATTGTTGGAAATGTTATTATTTATGTTGTTAATGTGATTGTTGGAGATGTTGCACGTATTTTTGTTGGAACTGCTCATATTGTTAGTAGTAGCAATTGCTGTGACACTGGGGTAATTTGAGGTTGAGGTGGTTACATTTAATGATTCAGGTGGACTGTCGCTATTATTAATGGTTGCTGGTATGGCAGTAACGATTTGTCCTATTCGATTTGGCAGCATAAAAGCGCGTTTTGAACAAAAGCAAGAATTCAAAAAGCATCGCAATGTTTATATATATATATTTTTTTTTTTTGAATAATGTTAAATAGCACATATGACGTGTTATAGACAGGAGCACACAGAATAAAAGTTTGAAGAAAATAATTATATTAATTAATAAAATAAATAATTGATTGTTAGTTAATTTTGAATAAGAAGAAAAACTTACCAAGTTCACGTTTTTCTAGTGCTGCCAATATACCGTTTGCAGCGGCTTCCTGTTGCTCTCTAAGGAAACTTTTATGCCTTTCAGCGCGTTCACGTCTGCGACGTAAACCAGGTGTAACACCAGCACTATCCAAACCTATTAATAATAAAATATGATTATTGATTATGATTATTTTTTTTTAACAAAATGACAAGTACTTGTATTTGACATTTGTTTGAGATATAAAAAAAAATTGTTTATTCGAAAAATGATTTTTAGACTTACTTTTCCTATCCAAAACTAAACCATTGCTCACTTCAGTCGAATTTGTTGAACCAGAACTATCTTCATCCAGAACGCCATGCGTATTCATTTTCTTTGGTGATTGTATCACAGCTGGATTTGCACCTGTGCTATGTCGTCTTGACTTCCGCCTCTCCGCAGTATCGGTGCCCTGACGATATCTTTGAGTTTTGCGTACAGAATTATCAGGCAAACGTATGCCATCGGATTCACCATCTTCAAATCTGGTAGATGACATTAATAAGAAATATTTATTATAGCATTTATTATAATTTTAAGCGAATTTTATTATAAAACTGATTTTAATAAAAACTTTTGACTTTAAACTTCATTACAAATCAACCGGTTGTAATTTTAATTTGCTGAATATTTTCAAGAAGCAGCACAAGAAATAAGTGCTATGCTGCCAGATCATTAAATTTTCAAATTTCGTTTGTAATATATTGAATTGCTAAGATTATAAGATTATAAAACTTATATTAGAAAAGGTAAGATGGGATATATCTTAGAAAATTGTTATCGCTTGAAATGTATCAACTTGTAGGTAGACATGAGCATAGTTATTATATAGCCCAGTTTAAATAATCAAAGTAATGAAGTAACAATACTGCCGAAAACTATGATTTAACAGCGCAACTGAGTTTAATGTCAAAAAAGAATATGTTAATGAATCTATTAATATTCTAAGATTTTAAAACATAGAAATTCATGTTTTAATCGAATAGAAATCGTAATTCACAATTTCCCAAAATTTCAGTTAGCGCAGGTTCTGCTCTAATCATAAAATAGTGAAAAATAACAATTCATATATAAAAACATATAAATCGATATCTTAAATAATGCATTAATATTGTCAGCCGTGCTAATACATTAACTTATCGAACAATTATCGCAGCTCTGATAAGTTTTATGACAGAATTTTGTCTTAACATTTATTTTTTCTGGTATAAAAGAGCGATTAGTAAAGTTTTCTAGCATTCATTGACTTCAAGTGGACCTAATTAAACACAACATGGACGTAAGTTACTTTAAGCCTTTGCTCTACAAAACTGCACTGGTATTAACATCTTCTTCTCTTCTTCCTTTCCGTTTTAACATAACAGTTCAGCACTGCATGCGAAAAAGCTAAGGCCTTCACCAAGCGCCCAACCGATGAAGAATTCTTGGAAT